ATTAACAAGGCTAATTTAGTGCAAGCAGAGCATTCCAAAGAACTTATTGTGTTTCAAAGGGCTGAAAAGATGAGGCAACAGCAAATGCTTAGGGATGAAGCTGTTGCCGCTGATGCACTCCAAAAAGAAGTTGCAAGAAAACAACAAGCTGCTGGACACTACACTCTTCGCAGCTCTCCAATCATAGCCACTACTTTTGAAACCAGTAAGTTCCTTCGTACTTCTATTCATCTTTCTTAAATTCTCAATACTGAGGCTTGACATTTTGTATTTCTTCTTTTGCAGCAACAACTTCTTTGCCTACTCTTCTAATAAGGATTCCTTCAGTTTCAGTTGAAATTGAACAACCTCAAAACGTGGAACCCATTCAGATAATACTCCCACTTTCTGGCCCTATATTTTCCATTCCCTTCTTGAAGCCAAGTATTCCTGCATCTCTTTCTTTTGGCTTAACTCCATACTTCCCTCATTTATCTTTCGATTCTACTCAATTTGATTCTTTTTCGAGCCTTGTTTCTCCTCCCCCTCCTAAGGGAATTCTAGCTATTACTTCATCTTTGATGATAGTTGATTCCTATAAAGAAGGTACTGGTAGCTCTCCAATTCATCGTCTGGCGACTGTGTTCTAACATGTGGTAATAAAAATATGCAGGTGACGCGTTTTAGTTGTGGTGGATTCACATTTGCAATACGTCTGAACCACACAATGAGCGACGGGTCTGGTCTTATGCAATTCCTAAACACAATCGCTGAGTTTGCCCAACAACCCCAAACCAAAATTACACCATCTGTCCCACCAATTTGGCAAAGGCACCTCCTCTCTGCAAGACAACCTCCTTCCATTACATGCCCACACTACGAATACGACCAAGCACTAGCCGGAGCCGCCACCACCACCACCACGGCCAACGAAACCACCACGATCGACCGCTCTTTCTTCTTTGGTCCCAAAGAAATCAGAGCCATTCGCAACCATCTTCCCCACCACCACCACAGCACAACGGCCTCCACATTCGAACTACTCACCGCATGTATATGGCAATGTCGAACACGCGCACTTTGTCTAGCCCCAGACAAGATTGTTCGCATCTCATGCGTAGTCAATGGCCGCGGCAATAAACATGGCCTCAACCTACCTCCTGGATACTATGGCAACGTGTTTACCTATCCCGCAGTGATGGCAAAGGCAGGACTGTTATCTATGCTTCCATTGGGATATGCATTGGAGTTAGTAAAGAAGGCAAAGGCACAAGTGAGCGAAGAGTATTTCAGATCAGTGGCTGATCTTATGGTGATACAGGGACGTCCTTCGCATACCTTGGAAGCGAATAAGGACTATATCATTTCAGATAATACTCGGGCAGGGTTTGATAAGTTAGATTTCGGGTGGGGGAAGCCTGTGTATGGCGGTATTGCTAGGGCGATATCTTTGATTAGCTTTTATGTACCTTTTAGGGACATTAGAGGAGGAGAAGATGGGATTGTGCTACCGATATGCTTGCCAGAATCAGTCATGGATAGGTTTGAACAAGAGTTGAAGAAAATGACTCAGGAGCCTGTGGAACATCCACCAAATCATAAACCCATTTCCATGCACCAAAAATGTTCACAATCCATATCTTAAAAAAATAAAATAAAATAAAAATTAAGAGTTCAACCTTGATAACCTACAACAAATGTAAGGATAATTAGTGAATAAGTACTCTCCATGTATTGAGTATTAGTTGTATTATAATCTTCCCAGAATGTAGATCAATATGTAACTTATTTTTGGTTTGTGATAACCTACAACAAATGCTGTTCTCTTTTTCTTTTCTTTTTTTTTGTTTTTGTTTTCATTAGTCAAAGTTTTTTCTTTTTTGAAGCAAATTAGCGGCCAACTGATCTAGGAATCTCGTCAGGAGCATCCACCACAATACTCCTCTTTCTTTTTGAACATTTTAGTTAAAAAGTGGATTTGCTAGCAGGGCGGCCTCAAATTTATGTTGCCTTAGACGAAATTTATGCGGGTGTAGACGAATTATGAAAATTAGATGCTTTTACATATATTGTTTTTATGAAAAGTTTATACATAAAATGATAAGCACTAACAAATTTTTTATTTAAATTTACTTGCACATATAATTATTAAAATCGTAAACTAAAATTTACTTTTATATATTAAGATAAGAAGAAATCATTAGAAAAGACTCAAAAACATAAAAAATTAGAATATGATTCTTTATTTTTTTGAAACAGCCAAAAGGAATTTTATTGATAATGATCAAGCATTAATACATTGATAAGCATCAATAAAAAGGAAGGAGCAAAGATCACAAAAAGCCTAACAGCAAAAGTTGGTAAGATACCAACCAAACAGCGATGAGCTCCAACAGATGAACACCAACATATGCAGCAGATAAACTCCACCATCACAAAGACACCAACTGATGAACTGATGAACTCCAAGAAAAAAGCAGCTCTGATTTTATCTTATTTCTTTTGGTCGTCCAACTCTGATTTTAATCAGCACAAAGGCACAGGTCCTCCAACTAAGGTTTAGCAGCCTGTAAAATACAAGCAGCCCCGAACACAGCAAAACCAGCAAAAGACAGCAACCTCATCTAACCCACAATAGCAACCCGAAACAGAACCCAATAACAAAACCAGATCAATATCAGCAACCCAAAACAAATCTGCTCCCCAAACTCAATCTTATTTGCCTCAGATTGATTAAAAAATCTTGAATAGAGAAATGACAATCCTTGAACCTATGTTTGAGCCACAGTGCAACTCTGATTTTAATCAACTCACACAGGTCCACTAACTAAGGTGAAGCAGATTTGAAAATGCGCTAATTCTTAAGCTTCCATAGAGACCATAGGACAGCCAAGGGAATGACCTTCCAAATCCTTTTTTCTTTCCTGTTCAACTGCACACAATCCCACCAGTGAAGTATACCTTCAACTGAACCTGGAAGAGCCCCCTGCAACTCCTACTAATCCATCATAGCCACCCAAACCTGCCATGCAAAATAGCAATGCAGCAAGACATGGATGGATGATTCAGGCTCAGATTTACAGAAAACACACAGAGTAGGAGTAGTAGCTTGAATCACTCCAATTTTCTGAAGAAATTCAGCTGACTTAACTCTGTTTCTCTATGCTAACCAACAGAAAAATTGAACCTTAGGAGGGGCAAAAGAATTCCAAACAAACTTACAAGAAATAAGAGAGGGACTAAGGGAGTTAAGTTCATTTTTATAAACAGATGAGACAGAGAATGGGCCAGATCCATTAGCCAACCAGACTATTTTGTCTTCCAGAACAGAACAAGGATCAGGTGCAGAAACCAGAAACAAGTTGAGCCTACAAACTATCCTATCTTCCCACTCATATAACCTTCTTCTGAATTGAAAATTCCAAGCCCCTGAATGTACCCCCTTGTCATACGTTGATCTCAAGGTTTCTTCCTTCTCCACAACCAATCTGTGAAGAGTTGGAAATTCATCCTTCAAGCTAGAATTGCTGCACCATTTATCCTTCCAAAAAGAGGTTCTATTACCATCCCCTACCTTGATATGAACATTATTAAGATAAAACACCATCAGACTATTCCTCCTTTCTGGTATAGATATGATACCTTTCCAAACAGAAAAAAACTTGCTGCTATTGAAAGAAGAGGGATACCAGCTGTTTTCATCCAAATTATAATTGTTGCAGATAATTTTTCTCCATAAAGCATTTTTCTCTGAGCCAAATCTCCACCACCATTTTAGTAGCATACAGTCATTAACCAACCTAACTCTCCTAATACCTAATCCCCCCTGCTTCACATTCTTTGTTAAATCATCCAATTTAACCAAGTGAATTGGTTTTCTTGATTCTGACCCTTCCCAAAGGAAAATAGCCTGCAGCTTCTCAAATTCTCTAGCTACCCCTACAGGCATTTTAAATAAGGATAGATAAAACATAGGCAACGCAGAGGACACAAATTTTAGAAGAGTGAGCCTCCCAGAGAATGATAGCAGCTTCCTTTTCCAACCTGCAAGCCTGCTTCTGACTTTATCAAGAACAGGCTTCCAAGTTGACTTCTTATTTGGGTTAGCTCCCAAAGGCAGCCCCAAATACTTCAAAGGAAGAGCCTTGGGTTGACAATGTAATCTTGCTGCAAATGTGGATAAAGACTCCTTAGGAACATTAACCCCACACACCAGACTCTTATGGTAGTTTATTTTCAGCCTAGAGATCAATTCAAAACACCTCAAGACCCTCTTAATATTGCACACCTCCATGTCCTCAGCTTCACAAAACAAAATGGAATCATCGGCAAATTGTAGATGTGTTAGCAACACTTCACTAGAACCCACCTTCACCCCTTTAATTAGACCATCCTGCTGAGCTCTTGACATAAGAATATTGAGGCCCTCAGCAGCTATGTTGAACAAGAATGGAGATAGAGGGTCACCTTGCCTGAATCCCTTTTGGGGGGAAAACTCCTCTGTTGGTGACCTGTTGACCAACATGGAGAGTTTGGCAGAGGAGACACATTCTTTAATCCAACTAATCCATTTTGCTCCAAACCTAAAATTCAAGAGCATAGATGATAAGTAGCACCAATTAACAGAGTCAAAGGCCTTTTCAATATCCAGCTTGATAATCACACCCCTCATTTTGGTTTTTCTCCAGCCATCCACTATTTCATTAGCAATTAAAATACTATCCAAGATGTTTCTACCACCAATGAAAGCTGATTGTGCAGCACTGATGATGTGAGGGAGCACTACTTTTAGTCTGCTTGCCAGAACTTTTGCTAAGACTTTATAAACCGAACCAACCAGGCTTATAGGTCTATAATCACCAAGCCCAACAGGATTTTCAACCTTAGGAATTAGGGAGATAAAAGAGCTATTAAGCCCCAAGACCAACCTACCATTCCTATGAAAGTCCTTAAAGAACTGCAGCAAGTCAGATTTCAATAATTTCCAAAATTTTTGGAAATAAGATAAATTAAAGCCATCTGGCCCAGGGGCCTTATTGCTGTCACAGTCCATCACAGCAGCTCTAATTTCTTCCTCTGAAAATGCAACTTCCAAACTTTCGAATCCAGGGCAGTCAAGAATAGATTTAAATTGACCACCAAGCTTGGGTCTACATCTCCAGTCCTCTTTGAAAAGATTACTGAAGTGGTCAAAAACTACTTGCCTTACCTGAGCAGGGTCTTCATACAGCACATTCCCCACAGAAATTGAAGAGATCTCATTTCTACTTTGCCTACTCTTCGCCACCACATGAAAAAATCTAGTATTTCTGTCCCCTTTCAAATTCCAATTGAGCCTTGATTTTTGCAACCACAACCACTCGATCATTCTGCTTAATCTCCATACTTGATCTCTGACTACACATCTTCTGTCTTTCTCTGAATTGTCCAGATCTCTAGACTCTGTAGATAAATCCAAACGATGCAATTCCTCTTCTGCTTCCTTTAACTGCACATTTACGTACCTAAAGACCTCTTTATGCCATTTCTTTAATTCTACCTTCAATAATTTAAGTTTCTTTTGAAGTACAAACCCAGCCCATCCTAGAACTTCAGACTCTTTCCATACCTTCTCCACAAAAGCTGGAAAACTAGAGTGTAAACTCCAAACATTAATTACTCTAAACGGTTTAGGACCCCAGTCTCGATCATCTTCCATCAATAACAAAGGGCAGTGATCAGAAATGAGCCTTGGGAGACCCCACAATTTTAAATTGAACACCTCCAGCCATTGGGGATCAACTAACACCCTGTCTATTCTACTCCACTTTTCACCTGCTAGTGAGTTACACCAGGTATATTTTCTGCCAAGTAATGGCAGATCCTGTAATTCACATTTGTCAATAAAATCAATGAACTCTCTCATTCCTTTATCTCTTCTAATGCAGCCTTTTCTTTCACCAATGCTTTTAATTTCATTAAAGTCACCACACAAACACCAGGGGTTAGGAAACTCTCTCTTGAGCTTTAACAAGTGATCCCATAGCTTACCCCGAATACACACGTCATTTGGTGCATAAATATTAAGAATAACACAATGGAAAGAAGAGAATAAAGTACCTGAGAGCAAAATAAATCCTCTATTACCACAACATTCCTTAAGTTGAAATACCTTTGGATCCCAAATGCATAGTAATCCCCTAGCAAGGCCTTCAAAATCCACTGCCAAAAATTCCATCTTATTTCTTGTCCACAATGTTCGCACTTCCTTTTCAGGAAAACTACATCAACATTTCTAGCCTTCAGAATTTTCCGAATCTTCCCCTTCTTTTCCTGCCGGCCTAATCCTCTAATGTTCCAAGATAGGATCTTCATGGAATACATAAAAAACACCTTTGAACTCCTAGAATGCATACCTATTAGGCTGTTGTACCCTCCCCACTGACCATCCGACCTACGTCTTTAACTTCAAGGTCCGCAATCTTCTTCAGGACTTCAACTTCCTGACCATTCATTTCTACTCCCAACACTTTACCCGTCTGCAAGTAAGCTTGTGCCTCATCCAAAATTCTGCTATCCCCATCTGCTCCGCTGCCATAGGATGCTACCAGTGAGGCTTGAGCTATAGATCCTCTAAGCAAAGAACTCTTTGGGACTGATTTGCTGGAAGATGCACCCTTCGAACCCACCCTTTTTTCCAAACCCAAGAAGCCCTTTTTCGGCCAGAGGAAGCTAATCTTCTATTTCCCTTTTGCTTTTGCCTTACCTTTTCTTTTCTCTACTACGGCTATGTGCTGTGTGTGTTCCTC